GAGAGAGAGAGAGAGTGGAAGGGAAGCTCCAGATTTCCTAATGCCCTGTTTAGGAGCTTTCACACCCAAGATGGTCATTTACTCACTAATTCCCCCATGGTCTCTTCAAGTCATCCTAACAAAACCACCAAAGATCCTCTCTTTTACAATCCCATCACCCTTTCAATCTAAAAAGGAGACCATTGCACACCATCCAAAGCCCCCAGAAAAAAGAAGAGCATGAACATAATCCAAGGGGAAGATAAGATCAGGGGACAGCAGTTTTGACAAGCTATAATCCATTCCTTAAGTTCCTCTTTACTCTTATCTCTCTCTCTCTCTCTCCCCTAAACCCTAGGCACCATAAAACTCTAAACCGTATCCACAATTAGCTTTCCCGACATCTCCATCAACAATTCTACATAATACACTCATACATTACGCCCAAGTTGTTGCAGATGCTAATGGTTGGTTCAGATTATAAGAGACACATTGCTACCAAAGATTCTTAAGCATCACACACACACACACACAGTGGTATGCTTTTGGATTTGCTATTACCTTGTAAGTTTTGTCTCCAAAGAAGTGGATCTCTTGGAAGTCATCTAGGTACCTTAAGCAGTATGTTTTGTCCCAGCCATTGGGGAAGACCTGTGTGCATTATACAATGGGAAGTAAGTTCTTCCATTTTATTTATTTTTAAATATAAATACAATTAAGTTCTTTCCATCTTTTTTCTGTTTTCCTTTTTTGTTCTTTTTGTGTAGGTGATTGGCTTGATGTTATGCAGTGGTTTCACTGCCCTACCCACCAAGCCAAGAGGTTCAGCCCCAAGGGATTTGCTACAGCATGTCAAAGTAGTGAAATATGTAATCCTACTCCAAATTACCATTGTCCTTTAAGTACAGACCATTTACAGGAGGCATCTGTTTTTGACTTTTTTCTTTATGGCTCAATGACAATTACAAAAATGTTCCTCTGGGTTGGGTTGCTTAGTTGAGCACACACAATAGTATGATGATAAGGGTCCCCATCTGGAGAGCTAACCTCATATCATCCCAAAGAACCATTAGCTCTTTGTGAATGATGAAGGCTATGACTACCTAAAAGTAATTTGCACCAAAGCAGCAAGGGCGCGCAAAGTCATCATGGATTTCGTTTTTTTAGTATAATGACTAACCCACAATAAAAATCCCTTGTTTAACATTTTAACAGTAACATGTTTATTTGAAAAATTGAAATAGCAAAAATAATAGTTTCTACTCTCTAATCACCATCAAAGGTATGCTATAATCAATGAACATTAATCACTTACATCAAAGCTAATTTGTCCTCCAATTGAAAAGGTAAGGTTAAGGTGTGCAAACTTTTCTCGGAGAATGGCTACCATCTTTTGACGTACATTGTGAACCTGCATAAATTAAGTCTTCATTATTTGACGTCCTCAGATACTTCTTTATTGCAAGTTTGCAACAGAGTTATCCAGATAATTTCATAATACGAAAAACTAATGTAAAGGTATGAAATATCTGCCATGACAAATTGGCTTGATAGTGACGAAAAATTCTTCTAATTTCGCAAACGTTAGGGTGTTTATATAACATGTCAGGATACAGGTCCTGTGCATGTCAGTGCAGACAAAGAACTTGCAAAACAATTCTGGTTCCCTTCCCAAACATGAGAACTTCTCAGAAAGGTGAGCTGTGAGAAACCCCACAGCGACGTTTTGACTATGATTAGAAATGTGAGGAAACTACTAGAAGTCAAGAATAATGCAAAGCTTTTTTGTTAAAATGAAAACATAAAGCCTAAGAATGCAATGCTTGAGAAGACATAGGAGTGCCAAGGGAAGATATTGAGATAAGAAACCTGTTGGAAGACATGGGTTTGCCATCATTTATTGGAATTTTGGAAGGTCATTCATATTCATAAAAATAAAGTCAAAAATTTCTTCAGAGAAGCTTATTAAAATAGGCAACTGCATTTATTTCCGAGCATTGAGTACTATTCTGATACTTAGTTGGAGGAAGGCTTCTTGCCACATACATGACCACCCAAAGGATGCAAAAGTCAAAGGGAAAATGAAAAAGAAATGTACATCTAGAATTCATACATAGGATAATTGATGCATGGGGAAAATGCATGACAGTCTCCACACATTTGCGGAGGGAACATCATATTTGGAAACAAAAGAATACCCAAAGATCTAGAAACTAAAAGAAACACAGAGAGATATCAATAGAGAACTGAAAAGAGAAACACCTAGGTCTTCTCAAGCTTTGCATATGCATATTACGCAATCAAAAAAGAAAAAAAATATATAAAACAAAAGATAATGCATACCTTATCATACTGCTCAAACTCATTTCTTTCTTCATGACTGCAGTTTCGCCCTATTGGTGACACGTTAAGCATTCCACTTCGGAACTCTATGAAGGTTCCTCTGCAAATGCAGACCTTTGTGAAATGGCAACTTCTATTACCGTTTTTTATAGACAAGTTACTTGGTTTCTTTATTTATATGTTGATAAGTTGTTTAATTCCCTACATTTTCTTTCTTTGTTTTAACTGTATTCACCAACCTTTTTATCGGGATGTCCAAGTCGGCAATATAATGAAGTGTAAAATTAATCAATTCCTGCACATTTTCAATAAAAATTGAGAATTATTTTCTGCACAAACTGGTTACCTGCTTAAAGCGAAATGCTTTGAAAAGGGTCGAGATAAGGGGATTTACCTTGAGTTTATCTTCCCCAAGGAATGATTTCAAGCTCTGTAGTACATCAAAGAATCAATGGTCAATGATAACATCTCTCTAGTAACTCCATAACAATTAACTTGAGAAATAAAATTGACAAAATCAAGATGTGTGCATATTAATACCAGAAACAAAATATGGACATGCCAAGTTCAAAATTGAATATTTCAAAGGGATTGTATACTATGAGAGCATTTATCTTTTCTACAAGGAGGACAAAAGTCCTCCTAACCATTAGATGTCAGTTTCGATGGCTTAAGGTGTGTCACAAAGTTTGAGAAATTTTTTTTTTAACTTTGAGTCTAATCAATGACACTCTTTAAAACCACCCGATTTAAAATATGACAGTCAATAGTGATTGTAAGCTCCTTGTACCAAAAGTAAATGATCTCTTTTTACACCTTTCCTATTTCAAATTAGTTTCATGTTTAATTCAGTCTCAATGCAATTAAATAAACAAAGTAAACAACTTTTGAACGGATAAAGATCAGGAATGCGCATGAAACCATAACCCAGGCAGCTAAATGAAATTCATTTGGCAGGTACTCGTTCATAAACAAATAAATTGAAAAGTTCACTTCATAGAGGAAATCTAATTAAGATGTTCATCAGAGGATATAAAATAATGCATGACAATCAATACTTAGTCATGTCACAAGAAAAAAAAAATCAACCACTAAATAATTCAGGAAGATACCTGGGTACCAATATGCTTTCCATCCTTGTGAGCAATCAGCCCATTTTCAGAAAAGACATAATCGTAGTCACTTATCACTGTGAATATCCAAAAAAAGATTATGAGTACTTTCGCATTTTATAATAGACGATGGACCATTAGTTGTTCCTTGTAAATCTAAAATCAGAAGAACCAAACAAGTTCTCAATGAACTCTAAGTTGTCATTCAAAGAAATCTAAATATAGGATCATTACCAGCTAACTGCCAAAAAGATTTTGCTATTCTTCGCATGAGACTGCAAGCAAGCATACCGTAAACAAAAGTATGTTGGGGTTCAAGCAACTAATATTTGAAATAATTTACAGGTATAATTGATTGATTGCTACTATCATCAGATATACAGAAATATGAGTCTCACAAACAAGCTCACAAAAGGAGTTTCTTTGAACTACTCCATACAGTACAAGGATTACTAATCAACTATTAGAGTTTTGAATCTGATTATTGAACTCCTCATGAATGGGGAGCAATTCTACAGAGATACACCAAATTACAGATTCTTGTGTTCGTTTTCACTGACTTCATTATTATTTGGAGTTGAAAGACTGAATGAGCGCACACCTGTCTTGCCAAGTTGCTCAGATATTTTTACCAAGTCAGATCCTCCGACAACACCCACTGTTACAACCTAATGTCCGATTTAGATTTTAGCATTCAAATCAAAACTAACTTGACACATGGCATATTCCAGATCCAAAAATAAGCAGCTTTAACTTTTGAGATATAAAGTCGAGTACCTCTCTGAGCCTCTGCATGAATTCTAACATCTTTGGAGTCACTTCCTGGTATTCAGGAAAGAAAATAGATATAGAACAAAGTTCCTTCTTGACCAGAAAATAAACATGGTAATCTAAATGATATACAGTAAGAGACATAAGTGAGAAATACACCACACAATGTAGAAAGCAACTGCTAATAGAATCAATATAGGGTATTTAATATAAAGATAGCAGCCATTAAATAGAAGAAATTTAGGATAAAATAATAAAATTTTATATTATGACAGAAAGTAGTGGACTCATATCAGTCATATAAAACCTGTAAAATATATGCATCAGCCACAAATCTAAGTGACAATTCTAGCTAGGCATCATTAGCAGCACGCATCACTAAAACTCCTGCTACACTCTGCGCAACTCCTTCATAGAATCAGATTAGAACTAATCTCTAAACCTATACAGTCATTCTAATAGCATGTCAAATTATGAATCAATAATGATCTCCATGCTCACACTTATTATGCATATTCACAGTGTTGATTCAGGGAAGGCAAATCGATTTTGTAGGCACTCAATAGGTAGCCATAAACTGGATTGATTGATAAGTGATGCAAAAGCTGTAAGTTGTCTCCTTGAGTAGAAGTGATCTCAACACGTTCATCCAACTGTTTAGGGTTCATCACCAGAAGTTCTTTTTGCTTTATGTGAATAAATGTTTTCAAATATTGCAAGCTACTACGTTTCAATTCATATGTACTCAACATTCACCTCACAAAATAAATATTCTTCCCCCGATAAAAGTAGTTAGTATGAGAATGCATTGGTTTGTTTGGAAAGCTAACTCATGAGAAGGCACATTACATATATATTGCAACCCTTTGGCAGAAACTTCTTGGTTGTTTGTGTTGTACAGGGAAAATGGTGCCAAACCATTCTTATTTCACATGGGAACATCTAGACTAATATCGAGATTAAAAAATGTTGTCATACCTTTCTTGGAAGTGTAAGTGTCCCATCAACATCAAATAAAGTGAGGACACCTGCCTTCTTTCCCAACATATTACAATACTTCCTACATGAAAAAACCAATAAAGAAATATCCACAAACAAAATGGGCTCTTAACTCAGAATTATATACAGATATATGTAATTTTGTATCCACAGTTAATATTTAATGCATGCCGTAAAAAATTGGGTGGATGTGGACAAAGAAAAAGCCCATTAACTCAGGACTAATTGCAAGTGATTGTATCAAATTCATAAGCAAGCAATTATTAGGTACATTTTCAAGGTACAGAAATTTTGAGAAGAACACCGGTTTCTGAAAACAGACAAATGGGGGAAACATTCAGAAACTTCCATGTAATATTCCTCTTCTCTATTTACAGATTTCAACCTTCAGTGCTAAGATCTATTCTAAAATATGGCAAAATTGAAGCAAGGAAGCCCCTAACAATCGCATTCTAAGTTTCTAGTTGAAGCATTGCACATAAACAATTAAAGCTACCTCCAAGAAAGAGCTGAAAAAATACTCTTGTTCTACTCTGTTTGAACCTATTGGCTAGTGTTGTTTCTAGGGAAAATTTAGTAATTTACAGTTTAAGCAAACCCAGACTTGCGAAGATAGCCATAAAGAACCAAAAATATTATTAATTCAGCCACGTAAAAGTAAATTGACTACATGTATCGTGATCTTTGATCTAACAGAAAGAAAATTTATCCCCATATCTATCCAAGTTGGCCTGTTGAGATTTTGAATATCAACATAGCTGTCTGCTATAAATAATCAGAAACTCAAAGTGTAAAATAACCATAAATTTCAGAGATTGGATGCATGATACAGTTTCAATTTGTATCCCAACATAGCTATTAAATGCTAAAGGAACTTGATAAAAAATGTAAGAATATGGCCACATAAAAGCAATGTACAGTAACATATCAGATAGATTTGAGCAATAAACAAATGGATTTTTACTACTATTCTCCAACGGTTAATTTTACATCAATTACTCTAATTTCTAGCTCAAGTATTCATTGGACATACTTGAATTATATTAACCCATTTTCTTTTCTTTTTTTGGATCTTAAAGTAGGATTTTCAGTCAAATAGCATTAAGGACTGTTTTTTTGAAATGAATAATAAGCATTGACTAATAAACATACAGATTTTCAGCTAATAGCAACAGTCTTAAAATTTCAGCTAAATTCAAGCAGTGCACCTCCAATCAAGATCTTTAGCTAATAAACATACAGATTTCCCCCATTATTCTCTGTTTTTAATTGCATGAAGTTCTCAAATTACGACTCAAGCTTCCAGTTGAACCTTAAGAGAAAAAACCAGAAAAAGAAAATTAGGGCAATCTATGAGGAAAATGTAATTACCTGCAAATACAGACGTCTTAAGCAGCAGGAAGGAAGAAATTTATTTCTTCCTGCTTTTGCAATGCTATATTTTGCAGATCCTCTTCTGAACTTTATCGAACTCTCAGCTATATAAGCTTTCAAATCTGCAAGAAAAGGAAATGCAAGAGGAAAAGCCTAGTATTAAGGCGAGACTGAAGCTCAAGAATTCATGTGCATGTGTAAAAATACAATTTTCTCGCGATCCTAAAGGTGAAGCTTTTGGCTTGTGTCTGCAAAAGCAGAGGCTAAAAGGAAGCGACCTTACTCTTACTTTCTCAACAATGGTCGAGGAGTTTGTGCAATATATAATTTCTCTCTCTCTGTCTCTGATCTTGAGAGTTGTAAAATATTCTCTGTCTCTTTCAGTACAAGCTTTCCAATTGTAAATGTACTCTCCCACTCTTTAAGATCTGGAATTGTACATCTCGCTCTTTCCGAGTAATGCATGCAATTAATAATTGTGTAGGAATCTAGAAATGTAAACTACTTTCGAACTAACACAATAAATCTCTCTCTCTCTCTCTCTGTGGGGAATTTATGCAATTAATAATTGTGTAGGAATCTAGAAATGTAAAATATTATCGAATGAACACAATAAATCTTTCTCTCTCTCTCTCTCTCTCTCTCTGAGATTGAGATTTCTATAATACATGGATATAATGGAACTCTTTCTCTCTGTCTGAGATTTCTATAATACCTTGGTTGTATGAAAAAATGGAATTCTCTGTCTCTTTGACGTGCTTCTCTCTCACATATGTGGTTACAATGTTCTTTCTCCCAATGTGTCCTACAATTGTCAAAGGAAAGATGCTTTTAAGAGCTGGGTGAGATGCGTACGAACAAATCTTTGTGTGCTCAAATGGAACAAATTCTTACGCCTTCCCCCCTCTCTCTAGAAATTCATTTTAGGTAGGGAAAGGTAAAATTTCTGTCTAGGTTTCTTTGATTTAGATATTTGATCCACAAATATTTCATATAGATACTACATAAGGGAAAATTTTATATAACATGTGAATCTTATACTTTACGTGTAAGGTGCACCTAAAAACCCATCAAATCATCAAATCGTTCTTCTCGATCTTGATATTCATGTGAAAAATAAAATAAAATTTAGTCTTAAAAATAGTTCATCTCTTAATACATTATTTGGACCATTTATTTTCAAGATTTTCAAATATTTATAATCTATATGATTGATACTATTTTTAGAACTCTAAATTTCAGAATTGAGACAACAATAGCTTTTCATGTCATTACAAGGCTTTGCCGCGCTGAAAATGCATTTAAACATAATTATGAGGTGCATCCTTATTTCAATAGTATAAGGTTGACACCTTATACAAATCTCACCCATTAGAGAAGATTCAAAAATGAAGGAAACCGCTCAAAATGATCCAAAATAGTTAGAAAAATGAGATGGCACCTCATATAAATAAAAAAATTGAAATGGCACATACAAGCGCTTATCGGTGAGCTTTTATACGCGCCATACAAACAGCCCATTTGATTAAGATAATTATTTATGGGCAAACTTTGTGTAGGAGAAGACCCATTTGATTAAGATAATTATTTATGGGCAAACTTTATGCAGCTTCTCCTATTGTACAAAATCTATATACTTCTCTCCGCCCAAGTGTCCATTTTGAATGGATAGCTGACGTGACTTTGATCGCAATGTCATGTCGCTCTGTACCATTTTATTTTTATTTTTTTATAAAATATTTTGATACCAAAATATGGACGTTTACTTCTCTTTTAAACTCATACCTGTAAAATATGTATAAAAAACTCTCGATAAAATAAATAATCAAAATACTTCTTAAAGTTTTAGGAGTATTTTGGTTATTGTATTTTAGTAAAAATATTTTTTAATAATTTTTTAAATGTATCCCATTGACATGATGGTACGTATCAAATTTCATATTTATATAATTTGTAAAAAAAATTAAAAATAAAACACTCTGAGACATGAGATCTAGATCAAACAATCTGTGGGTCACTTGATCGAAATTAGACGGCTGGATAGATAGGAAGTGTATATTTTTTTTTTATGGTAAGGGAACTATAGAAACTTTTATTATTATTTATATTATCATTCTACAAGATGTTATTTATTGAAAAATAATTTTATTAAAGTTTTTCCATTAAACTTTTTCCCGTACTTCTTACAAGCCCCCTTTAACTTTCAAGCAGGGCTGTTTTGTTTTAGTAAACAGCGCAACACGGAACGAAGAGGAGAATGACATGCGTGGGGCTTAGTATGTATTTGGTGTATATTAACTGTTAATATAAAGTTAATAAAAATATAAAAAAAATGATTCGTGTAAAAGTTGCCTAATAAGAACTTAATTAATTTTTTACGCAAATTATTGTTATCTAATAAGAACTCATTTATGGGCAAACTTTATGTAGGAGAAGACCCAACTTTACACGAATTATTTTTATCTAATAAGAACTTAATTAATCAAAACCTTGATTAGAGTAATACAATATCTAATACAAAAATTTAATTAATCCAAAGTCTAACCAATTCCAGATATGACGAATAGGGGTGAATGTGACATTTTACCAAGATAGGGGTGCAATGGACCCCACCCGAACCGATCCGAAACCCAAGGGGTAGATCCGATCCGGGTCCAGGTATGGGTCCAAAAATTGGACCTGGCGGGTTGGGTTTGGGTCCAGATCCGGTAATATTTTTCAAGTCCCAATATATGAAATATATTCAAATATAGTTGGATACATAGATATTTTAATTTTCAGGTTGGGTCTGATTAGGTCTGGTCAGGTCCAGGTCCCACGCTATATTTTCAGGTCCGGGTCTGGCCGTTGCCACCCCTTAGCCAAGACAACCCGTATTATTGTATACTGTTCATACACAAATCAGGCCATAGGGTGATCTTCACCAAACGAAAGCATGTGTGACACCCAAAGTCAGAAACATTTTTGTTTGTTGATAAGCAGAACATTCACAATGTGTAATGTGTATATATAACTAACATTCACAATGTGGAATGTGGATATATAACTAGTTTCAGAGAGAGAGAGAGAGTAGGAATTCTTTGATGAGATCATATCTTCATTGAGAAAAGCAGGCACATCTGCAAGGTAAGGAGACAGTTTCATTCATTCAAAGAGTCAAAAGGCCAAATTAGCCAAAAAAAAAAAGTCAAAAGGGGAAGCAATATACATCCATGGCATAGCTCTTTCGCCATGCAATGCACTTCTCTTGAAGAAAGCAAAGGCCGTTTGGACAATCTCATGCCTTCTGATACCAACACCACAAATTTGACAACTCAATACTCTCATTTGAGTGAGAGCGTGCGAGCTCGAAATTTCAAGTTATTCAAGGCCTTGCAGAATTTCCAGAGGAAAGATCGCGGGCCGTGGAATTTCAGATTAGTGAACATCATTAAACTTGAAGATTAAATGAACATCGAAAACAAAACCAAGTAAAATTCACTATCATTTTTTATCAGACAAAACTCTTCAGTTCAGATTCCTTGCTACAAAAACCCACTAAGATGATTATACTTATTGGCCCATAGAGGAGGTCTATGGCTTCTATGGCCCCATGATGGGGGCAAGTTAACCCCAGAAGTTGGAGACGAAGTGTGATACAATCAAAACTGGCTCAAGCTACCCAAATTACCAGAAAACTGAGACCCGACTGAAGCGGTACTCTGTCAATATAGTATGAAACCGGAACATGGTATGCATCATGCAGCGACCCATAAGATGAAAGTAAATGTTAGCTGAACTTGCCATTATATGAAGATAACATCTGAGTCCACTATCATTCTTATTTCTCCTATTTGAAGAAAAATCTCCACACAAGCATCAATACCACCTCTGCTAAGATGAAGAAAATTAAGCACACTGTCAACGCCACATGTGCAAAGCAGAGTCAAGACTATCACTATGAATTTTGATAAATCAAGAAGCAAAGCCGAGCCCGTGATCACTGTCACCTTTGCTAAGGGAAGAAGAATAGCTCATTGTCATTACTGCCTTTGCTGTCAAAACCATCTTTGCCTAATGAAGAAGAAAATTCAAGCCCAATGTCCATAGCACCTTTGCCAAATGGAAAAGGAAACCCAAGCCCTCTACCACTACCAACTTTGTCAAATGAGGAAGAAAACCCAAGCTTATCATCATTGCCACCTTTGGCGAAATGATGAAGAAAACCTGAGTGCTGTATCATTAGCACCTGTGCCAAATGATGAGAAATCAAGCTCTCTATCAACTTTTCCACGTGAAGTAGCGAATCCAAGACCCATGTCTTCCAGAGGTGGTAGAGTAGAACCGGGTAGGCCCATCCAAGCCAACTACATGGGCCCCACCACTGATGTATGGGGTGGCCAACCGGCTACTCTAACTGCCAAAGTTTTCCCCCCAATTCTAAACCCGTTCATACAAGTAATAGCCTGAAATGCACTAACAGCATATACAAACTTCACAAACCCATACCCTTTGCTTGCCCCAGTGACCCTATCCTTGATCACTATTGCATCTTCAATCTGGCCAAAGGGAGCGAAAAGCTCAATCAAGTGCTCACTGTTCATAAAAGGGTGCAGATAACTCACATACAATTTTGAAATATCGATCTCTTTCTTGGGCTTGTGATCGAAGGTCAGGGTCGAGCCTAGTGCAAACCTGGGTGCTTTATGTGCCCGGGTTACATTGATGGGCCATCCTAACCCACCCCCATTCTCTAATAGACAGCTATGGTATTCCTTATCTATTTGAGTGCCAAGATTTGAACATTTTAGAGGGCAACCTACTGTGAGGTGGCCACTATCTCTGCATAAAAGGCAAAAAACATTAGCTTTAAAGGTTGAATTTCTATTAGGGCAAGCATACTCTTTATGTCCTTTCTCCTTATAAAGCCTAACAAAATCCTTGCCCCTCGTTGCTCCATTTATCAAAGAAAGCTCCTTTAGTTGCTCATGTTTGTGCTTATTTCGCCCCCCATTCATAGGATTTAATAGCTTCTCAAGAATAGACACAGCTGCATCTAAGGACTGCTGGTTATCCGCTTCCACCAAAATATGCAAGTCCTCGTCATGCAAGGATTCTAGCTTCACATGATGCTTTTGAAGAGCTCTACCTTCCTTCACTGAGCCTTTCCCTCTTATAACTATCCTTGCTCCGGTTTCTCTCTCCATTCTCTTCAAAGTGTTTCCTCGTGGCCCAAGTAAGAAACCAATGAAATTAAAATCCGGGTATTCTTTGACAGGTATATAGAGCTTATTATAGAGCTTGGAAGGCTTGTAATCAACAGGAGGGTTGAAAGATGGGTTCTTCTGAACCAGCCTGGAGATCACCTCCTGCCTCTCTTTGGTTAGTTTTTCACGTGCTCGACAGTCCCTAGTGTTTATTCTGATCCCAAGGTTGTCATATATTGGTTCAGGAGAAGGCGATTTAGGCTCATAAGGCTTATTCTCATAAAGGACAACTCCACTTCGAAGCTTCCTATTGATCTCCAAGAGCTGGGCATTTAGAGCTTGGACCTCAGGGTCATTCTCTAATCCAACAGCTAGTTCTTCAACAAAATCAGGAAGCTTAATTGGTCCCATCATCTTTATCTTGGTATCATCCTCAGCCCACCCTGATTTCCTCCTCTTGCCAGCCCCTTCTCCTTCAACCAAATCTTTCTCACCTTCTTTACTCTCTAGTTCCCATGTGCTACGTCTCCTTTTTCCTGAACTCCCTGTATTTTCCTGAGTTTCCCCATCCTTTTCCAAAGTTTTGGAGTTCTCAGAACTATCAAGCTTGTGGGTCCTGTCATTTTCACCATCCCTTCCCATTTCCTGATTAATAACCACACTAGACCTTTCCAATGAACGCCATTTACATTCTGCGGAGGGAACATTTAGACTTGGGCTGGTCACTGGAGAAACCTGAAGATTATCAGTGGAGATTTTGGATTTCTTCCTGTCCTGCAGATTTTCTTCATCCCTTCTCGTTTCATGTTCGATAACCACCCTAGACCTTCCTAAGGAAACCCCATCCTTAAATTCATCTTCTGAGGAAGGGCAATTTCGACCAAGAATGATTAATGGACAAACCTGAAAATTATCAGTTAAATCATTGGATTTCTCACTGACTTGTAAATTTTCCCTTTCCAAATGCTTTCCTCCATTAAAGGGTTTCCCACTTCGATTTTTATTTTCCTTATGACTATTCTCCTCGTCATCCCTAACTGCAAATTGTTTATTTTCCATCCAATACAACTAAAGGTTGTACAACTGGAATTGGAGACACACCATTCCCAATTATTAAGATTTTAGAGCCAATAATGTCACTGTAAAAGTACAAGACCAAATTACTATCAGTAAGGCCTCCGAAAAACATAGATAACTTCCACAATGTTAATCCTCAAAATCATAAAAGAAAGCGGAATTTAGAATGGACCAAATGCAGCAGAGAGTCAGAGACTGTCCCACTTCCAATAAAAGAAAACCCATAATTATTCTTTAAAGAAAACACAATGTAAAATCAAAATTAAAGAAAAACAATGTAAAATCAAAATTAAAGAAAAACAATGTAAAATCAAATTTAACCTTTCATTTGTCTTTTACCATATTCTGAATTCAGATATACAACAGACATACAACACCGGCTAAAAACTTAGAACCCAATAATGTCACTGTAAATGTAAAAGACCAAATTACTATCAGTAAGACCTCCGAAAAACATAGATTTAACTTCCAGAATGTTGATCTTCAAAATCATCCAATAATATGGAATTTAAAATGGATCAAATGCAGCGGTGTCCTGATTCCAATAAAAAGAAAACCCATAATTGTTCTTTAAAGAAAACATAATGTAAAATCGAACTAAGGAAAATCAATTAAAATCAAATTGAAGAAAAACAATGTAAAACCAAATTCAGCCTTCCATGTGTCTCTACCATATTCTAAATTCAGATATATAATACTTTCTAAAGACATTAAACCCAATATGTCATTGTAAAGTACAAGACCAAATTACTATCAGTAAGAGCTCTGAAAAACACAGATTTAACTTCCACAATGTTAATCTTCAAAATCATCAAAGAATGTGGAACTTAGAATGGACCAAATGCAGCAGAGACTGTCCCAATTCCAGTAAAAGAAACCCCATAATTATACCTTAAAGAAAACACTATGTATAATCAAATTAAAGAAAAGCAATTTAAAATCAAATTAAACCTTCCATCTGTCTCGTACTGTACTCTGAGTTTAGATATTTAACACAGTCTAAAGAAAAACAAATACAAATTCAAAATTGAACCTACATTTGTCCCAAACCACAGTTATATCACATTCTGCAAAGAAAACCATATTTAAAGAAACCCGCAAATACTCCATTAATATTTTAATAAATACAAAATCCAATATCCACAAAAGTGATTAATATGATACTATCTTTCTAAGCACAACAGAGCATCTTGTTAAAATTCAAAACACCAGTTCACGAGCAGCATTTCATTGTTTCTCACATAAATTAACAAAAATCTACATAAATTTTACACTCAGAAGTCAGAATATGTTTTTGAATTTCATAGAAAGTAGTGGCATATAATTCTTCACAAAATCATAATCAAAACTTAGAAAACTATAATCATTGAGAAATGAGAATATCACTGTTGGTCCCAGTAATTCACCAGAAACACCAAGATTTCATCAAAACCCTAGAGAAAGAAAGCTTTTCTTTGCATTTTTCACTGTATATTTTACAAAAGAAACTACTTAAATTGAAGAGAAACCTGGTTTTGGGCATTGATGAGTAACAATGGTGGCTCCAACGAGGTGAAATTAAAGGTGAAAATGCGAAAAATGTGAAAGATTCAGAGAATGAAACTCAAGTTTAGCTTTGGTTTAGTTTCGTGTAGATCGGGCTTTAAGGAAAATGAACAAGGAAACCTGAGGGTCTTTGTAATTAAAATTTTAAACTGAATCACAATCAGCTTAAAGGAAAAAGTTTATATAGAGCCTAAGCTCTAAACAATCAAATTAGAGCCTACTCAAAAATTCACTAGATTAGGTTTTTTTTTAGGGTCAAATATCATCTAATTGATCATCTCGACATCAAGATGCATGGACATGAGAAGAAAATGGATTTAAAGTGTCTGAAATAGTGCATCTTGTACCGCACATTTTGACCGTTAATTTTCAAGAGTTTCATATTTTCATAGATATGCTTGATCTACACGATATTTGAAGTTTTAAATTTTATAATTATAGATAAAAGTATATTTTAAGGCTATTATAAAAATTTTCAGTATTGAAACCATATTTCTCGGTACTATTTCATGATGGGCTCTAATTTGATTGTTTAGAGCCTCGGCTCTACACAAACCGCACCCATTAATTAAATGCATCACAGGAAAATTCAGCTTATTTTTTAAATTAAAAAATAATCTCGTATAATTTACATTGAGCGTGTATGTTATGCTCCTGTGGGAGCATAGTGTACATTTACTCCATCAATACAATACCTATTTCGGAGGATTTTTTTAAATTTGAAATTTGGGAACCACTAGGCATAAGAAGATAATAACTCTCAATTTTTATTTTTTTGAATTATAAGCCTTTTAATATTTAGATCTCACCCTCTAAAAATTAGACTATCTAATTTCGAGATATTAGCTTTTTACCTGAGGGAGTAAATGGACAATATACTCCTACAAGAGCATGAAATCTTTTGGCTTTTAATTTTACACCCAAGTCCCATATTTTTAATAGAGTATTATAATTTCATCTTTTCTTTATCTGATTAAGTTCAAAATTGATATGTTTATACTTCTCCAATCCTATTAAAAATATTTTAAAAAATTAAAGTAAAAAATTATCAAAATAACCTTGAATGATGTATGGGGTATTTTGGTTGATTATTATCTTAATTATTTTTTAAATATTTTTTCTATGTTTAAGATAGTGAGAAGTATTTAATACCAAATTTAAGTTAAAGCCAACGTAACGAAGAATAAGATCTTTTGAAAATTTTCCCAATAATGTATTATTGGGCCCGTGTTTAGATATATATTAAATTTAAAGTATTTTATATTATAAAACTATTTATCTTTTTTACCAGGTGGTTATTCTTAACCATTAGATATTAAATTGGATGGCTTGTGATATCTTATAAAAAATCTGAATTTTTTTTTTTGAGCAGTATAATTACTTATGCATTCACATCGACCCGATTTGAAAACGACAAAATATCTCTAATACTTTACCAGATAAGGTCAACTATAATCTTTTCACTTGCGCTCGCAGAGAACTCCCGCTGGATCATACCATATATTTGCTCCACAGACAAAAGCCCTTCAGACCGGGGATTTTCCCCTATGTTTTGGAATCTACCGTCGGATTGTAATTTCAAAGAACCCAAAGTTGACCAGCTCCCGTGGGTCCACATTGTCCAATTGCTTCCTTAATTAAAACTCCACCAATTTTAAAGGACACGGTTTCTATGCGGCCAACCAGCATATTGTAGAAAAGCAAGCTTTCTATGCTTTTCCTACAGTATATAAGTTCTATTCTATCCCTTATCCAACCGTCTATTTTGAATGGAGGGCTAAGATTGTCCCAATCACAATATCATGTCTCTACATTATTTTATTTTTAATTTTTTTTTATAAATTATTTTGATACCAAATTTTGGACGTATATTCCTCTATTAAATTCGCACTACCAAAAAATATAAAAAAATATTTTCACTAAAATAAAATGACCAAAATACTCTTGAAAGATTCAAAGGGTATTTTGGTTATTATATTTTATAAAAAAAAAAATTTAATATGTTTTATACGTGCGTCCTAATAAGAAGATGGAACGTACCAAATTTCATATTCACACAATTTGTATAAAAAAAAACTAAAAATAAAATACTTTGAAATGTCGGATCTAAGATCAAATGGTGAGTGACTCTCTTCATCAAAATTGGACGGCTGGATGGTAGGGAGAGGATAGAACTTCTATATTGTAGGGAGAGTATAGAAACCTTTCCCTTGTAGGAGGAGAAGGAGAAGAAGAAGAAGAAGCAAAAGGAGAAAGAGAAGGAGAAGGAGAAGAAGAAGGAGAAGAAGATGATGATGATTTTCAATCTTTTTTGCATTGTGCCTGGGTCAATTTCAATCTTTTTTGCATTGTGCATGGGTCAACCCACGGGGAAATAATGCCGGTCTAGGGGCTATGCTTGGTTGACCCATTGCCAACCCTAATCTCCTGCTTTCAATCTTTTTTGCATTGTGCCTGGGTCAACCACTGGGAAAATAAAGCCAGTCTAGGGCTTCAATCTTTTTTGCATTGTGCCTGGGTCAACCCCCGGGGAAATAAAGCCGGTCTAGGGCTCCAATCTTTTTTGCATTGTGCCGGGGTCAACCCCCAGGGAAATAAAGCCGGTATAGGGCCTATGCTTGCTTGACCCATTGCCAACCCTAATCTCCTGCTTTCGTGGGTTCATTTTGTCCAGGTGCCTCCTCAAGTAATAACCAAGCTGAGAGTACTTTTAGAACCACCAACTTTGAAATGTAATATATTGAACTCAAAAATCAACCACAAATAGGGTAGGGACTAGGGTCCACACATTCTAGTCACCAAATTGTGGTTTCTATTCCCACCATTAATACCACCCCCCTAATACCTTCAAAAAGCTAATTCCTAAATTACTTGAAAAAATGGGTAGGGGCATGTCTCCAGCACTGAATTACCAAAAAAAAATGATCAACCACAAATACAACAAAATTCAAACGGAATGCATGGGTTAGAAAAAACAATGTTATGAGCTTGAACAAAGACTATCTAATTTTTTTGACAATTTAAACTAAGTGTATAAGAATTTAAACTTGGGATTGTATACAACTAGATCATTTACTTTTGATATAAGATGGTCACAATTCCTTGCAACCATTTGATGTGAAATTTGATAGCTTGGTTGTGTTACAAAATTTAAACAAATTTCTTTTGAAGTTTGAGCTTGTTCAATGGAATAATTGCAGCCACCTAGTTTCACATCCAATAGTCAAGATTAATATGAATACGAAAGCTAGTTTGTCCCTTGATGCATTAAACACCCATTTTGTAGATGGATGTCATCAAATAGTGGTCCTAATAAATTTTGTAATAGAAGGTGTCAAAATTATATTAAAAAAAAAAACTCATTTTTATTTTTAAAAGTTTGTTCTTTTTTTTTTTTTTTTATTCCATACCCATCATGGTGGAGATTTTGATTCTCTAAAGTTTTGAATTCAAAATCCATCTCTAAAATAGATTTTAGAAAGAGGACTCATTTGAATCGGTAAGTCAACCGAATCATATAAGCCTTTTCTGCCCATCTTATATTAAACAAGGCATACCTCTAAATTTTGCCAAAAGATGCAGATCCCATATCATAAATCTTACGATGGCATGAAATCCATGTTTAACCCTAATTATGAAAATTTAAATTTTCGAAAAGGCACAGATCTATGAACACTTCGAAATCTTGAGAACATATAATTCAAATAATTTGTTACACGATGAACTACTGTTAAGATTTTAAATTATTATTATTTATTATACCGTACATCTTAAGGTCAAGATACTGGTGATCTAGAAAGTTTTCCAACTTTAAAATACTCTTTTCTACTAAATTTTTTAGTAGCACTTTACTTTCTTAGTTTTCAACCAAATTTGATTTTCATTCTAAACTAGTTTGGTCAAGGCACCGGTCGCTAGTCCAACAAGTAACACCGACTGGTCCAATTCATTCTTGATAACTATGGTTTTGATAGTTGCAACACTTGCATCTTATATTCAAATCTTTATTCATGAATAAGCAAAAATTCCCTCCCCAACGCATTTTGGATAATATCTTTTATTGACAAAATTCGACCCTCAAAAGGAAGTGACATTTTTGTATATGGACATGGGTCTCTACAATTTTTTTGCATATGCCATACATTAAGAACACGACGTCGATTTCTAACTTTAAGAACCTTAAACCCTTCTTATTAGTCTTTCTTCTTGAATCTCACTTTGAAAGTACTTGATATCACCCAAAATCTCACATCTTCATTTTTTTTTTTTTTAAGGGGGAAGCTTTTTATATGACCGCACCCACATATATAGTACATTCTTCTTGAATCTCACTTTGAAAGTACTTGATATCACCCAAAATCTCACATCTTCATTTTTTTTTTTTGAAGGGGGAAGCTTTTTGTATGACCCCACCCACATATATAGTACATGTGATCCCCAGTCTCATTCATCAAATCTAAGTAGATGGCTGAGATGGCTTGAGTCACAATATCACAAGCTAGTTCTTAATCATCAGATCTTGATCAGAACACTCATAATTTTAATTTTAATTTTTTATTTTTATTCTACAAATAATTTTGAAGCAAATTTTGGGACATGCATAGATCTGACAAGGTCACACATGATAAAAATAATTTTTTTTTTGTTGATGAAAATTTATCAGAATACTCCTGAAAATTATAGGGTCATTTTGGTCATTTATTTTTACAAAAAAAAATTGCTTTTTATTTTTTTCATGTTCACCCTAATTTATGATGGGAAGCCCAACATTTTATCAAAAATTGATTTGTACTATTTGGCATGACACTATGACATGAACAATATTAGTCGCTCAATCCAGATGGAACGCCTAAGAAGTGGGGTCACATATAACTTATATGTTTTGTAATCTTTTTTAAAATGCGTACGAATGTTTTGTATTTGAAAAGCTAATTTTGGGGTGGCTATTTGTGAGTCATATCCGCAACCGA